TGAGGTTATAAGTAAATTAGACGCGCAAAAACAAATATTCGGAAATCCCAAACAAATTGTAACTGATAAAGGAACAGCCTTTACATCACAGGAATTCAACGATTATTGTAAAACGGAAGGGATTAAACATTTAACAATAACTACGGGATTACCAAGAGCGAACGGGCAGGTAGAAAGATTGAATAGAACGATCATATCAGTACTTTCCAAATTGACGATTGAAGATCCCACTAAGTGGTATAGACATGTCGGAAAACTACAACAAATATTGAATTCCACTCATAACCATAGCATAAATTCTACACCTTTTGATTTACTGTTTGGAGTAAAAATGCGTGAAAGAACAGATCTAGAATTGAAAGAGATAATAGAATTGGAATTTCAATCACAATTTGAGGAAGAGCGTAATCAATCTAGAATAAAAGCGAAAGAACAAACATTGAAAGTACAATCTGAAAATTGTAAAACCTATAATCTTAGACGTAAGACAGCGCTGAAACATAATATCGGAGACTTGGTTGCCGTAAAACGAACTCAACTGGGTCCAGAAAGAAAGTTACGAGCGAAATATCTAGGCCCGTATCGTATTGAAAAGACTAAGCCTAATGACATATATGATGTAAGTAGAGTAGGAGAACATGAGGGACCAGCGCATACTTCTACGTGTGCTGAATATATTAAACCGTGGAATACGGTTAGACATATGTAATTCTCATTACGTCAGCAGTACATGCAATTTAAGTTTAAGTTCCAAAAATACGAAGCATTTGTTTTGTTAAAATTTTAAAATAAGATATGATTTAAGTTTAAGTTCCACGAGTACAAAGTGTTTATTTGGTTAAGGCAATGAATCACTGTAATAAATATTTTCCTTTATGTTAAGCAGTTAAATGTTAAAGCGAATAAAGCTATTGTGATACCGCCAAAAATAGTTATAGTTTAAGTTCAGACTTCTTCATCAGAATAGTCTGTTAATAGAACGTCATGAGGCGTTGCGAAGCGCCAGCGGCGCAAGAAAGAATGCGCGTCAGAGTTAGTAGTAAGATGGCGAGAGAGCTCGTGTGTGGCAATGTTTGATTTTTCTGTTCGTCGCCTAATAAATATTAGTTATTCACCAAGTGAATCAGTGACTTACCCTTTTCCCTACAATATATATATATACATTGGTCCAAAAAATTATTGATGAAATCTCTACTTTCCAAATCGGTACTTGAGAAAACGATCCTACTGATCTTTCATGGAAATACACGGATAGAAAGGGAGACCTGACGAATCTCAAAATTTTTTACGAACTTTGACAAGTTCCAT